AGTTAGGCTTGAATTCCAGTTTAGCACTCACCTAATAAAGTGATCTTGGGCTTAATATGCCAGTCTCTCCCAAGCCTCAATTTCATCAGTCACAAAACAGTGAAAAAATTGAGCTTCAAGCATTATGACAATCTAACGATATATTTTATTTATTTCATTTCATTTATTATTGTTTTTTTAAATTTGCTATAGGGCACATGCACTCATCAGAAAGAGAGAGAGAAAGGCAAATTGAGAAAGCAAGCCACCAGGTCTGGGACTTGAACCTCTGTCAGCCATGTAAGAGTTCAGCTCCCCAGTCACCATGCTGCCTGCTAGCCCTCATTATGACAATTTTTAAACAAGGTAATATATATTAAAATATAAAGTAAAACCTAAAATGAGGTCATAGATATTAAAATACTGTTATGTGCTGAGCACATATTAAACCCTCAGACGATGTTGAGTGATAGAATCACTCTTACCCTGCTCTCTTCTGAGTACATAGTTGGCGACTGAACATAAAATCCACTTTAATAACATTGTATTTCCAGGTTACTACAATAGAGGCGATCAATAATTGGCTGTCCTTTGTGCCTCCTGGAGTGCTCATTCTCAGATGCTAATATGCTTTGGAATCACCAGGGGTTCTGGTTGTAAGAGCACACTGATCCAGTGGTCTGGGACGGGGTCCAAGGTTTTGGATGTCTAAGGAGCTCCCAGCCACTGTCAATGGACGCTGCATTCTTCTTCTTTATTTTTGTTTTGTTTTGTTTCATGCCACCAATTGGGTACTCAAACAGCACAGGCAGGCATGTGGGATCCAGTCGCCTTCACCAGCTGGCCCTGGGGGCTGCATCCTAGGGACCACACTGTGTGTCAAAACCCTACCAGAGAGACTAGGCTACCCAAAGTATTTACAGAGGAGAAATTTTCATAGGATAAATCTGTGAGGCTGAATAACCGTATTTAACAAGATAATGATTAGTAGATCGAACTGCTCTGTTTTGTTCAGAAAGTACGCTAGGAGAGGTAGTGCAGACAGGGTAAGGCGAGGAAAAAGGTCAGTGTGGTCCACCAGCTCCTGTACTCTCCACTCCCCAGGGATCCGTCCTTGAGTGTGATGATGCCGTCTCTGTGGGAGCAGTTTGGCAGTTTATGTCCAACCCTCCTGTTCCCTCCAGTCTCCTGCTTGATCACATGGCTTGGTCACGTGCCAGGGGTCACATACAAGGGGTGGGAAATCTCTCACACTAATTGATTCTGGAGCTCTGCTGCCTCCTTGACAATTGTGCATTAGGGTATTTTCACTAGTACTATTACTGGATGATCAAAAAAGTCATGCTGTATTTTTCTATGCAAAAATATGTCATTGACTTTTCCAACAACTCAATATAATACGTAAGTCTGACTAAACTGGAACATTGGGAGTCACATTTCAAATATCCATATTAATAATCCTTTGGGAGAGGAATTGAGCAATATCCAAAAATCTACAGGTGCATTTACCCTTTGAAGCACTTCCAGGAACCTACTTTGAAGATACTGTTTTGTAGTAGGCCAAATATTGATGCTCCGAAGATATTTGCATTCTAATTCCTGTAATATGTTGGCAAGAGGGAATTTACAGGTGCAATGAAGTCGAGAGACCTTGAGTGAGAAGATTACGCTGGATTAATCAGGTGGGTTCAGCATAACCCAAGGATCCATAAAGTGGAAGAGAGGCAAAAGAGGAGGCTACGCTGAATGACGTAAAGGCTTCCCACCACTGCTGTCTTTGAAGACGGAGAAACAGCCATGAGTCAAGGAACGCTGTGGCCTCCAGAAGCTGGGCAGGGTAAGGACACAGATTCCTCCCTAGAGCCTCCACAAAGTAATACAGCTCTGATTTTAGACCAGTGTGAACTATTTCAGACATTTGACCTCCAGAATTGGAAGATGGTAAACTTGTGTTCTTTCAGGCCACTACGTTTTGGGTAAATTGTTACAGCAGCTGCAGAAAATGGACACATCTTCCACAAATAGGAAACAGGTATGCGTAGGTCATCGGTGTGGTTTTACTTGCAACAGCTACAGATTTATTCAGCTGAATAAGTACAATGACATATTCAGCACCTGGAAAAAAGGATGAGGATAACCTCTACAACTAAAGTACAGATTTAAAGACGGGACTAGCTGAATAAGTACAATGACATATTCAGCACCTGGAAAAAAGGATGAGGATAACCTCTACAACTAAAGTGGGCTGACCTCCAGGACATATTTCAAGAGGGAAAAAAAAAATAGGTTTAAAACACTATGTATAGTATGCCACTATGGTGGAAGAAAGGACAACATTCATGGCTTCCTACTTGGTAAGAAGAAATCTGTAAAAACAGGCCGGAAATAAAGTAAGAAAAGTAATTTCTTGGACAGTGTAGGGAGAAGGAGCAAGAGGAGAAAATAAGACTTCTCTGAACATCTTTTATATATCATTTTGACTTTTGAACCATGTAAATGTTTTGCATATTCAAGAAATTAAATTAGGGCCAACAGGTGGCATGGAGGTTAAGGTGACTGGGATTCCACATGGCCAATTTTGCAGTTCAGGTCCCGACAAGGCAGCTTGAAAAACAAGCTGGGCACTTGTGTGTGAGTGCCCAAAATCCCAAGAGGAGAATGGAAGAGAAGGGATTACATGGACTCTATGGAAAAATTAATTAATTCTTAAAATAGTTTTAAATAAAATGTAAATGTTCATATTTAAATTTAAGAGTATTTTTTGACCTAGGTTTGGTGGCACAAGCAGTAGTGCCACCAAGTGCAGCATTGGAAGCCACATGGCTGACTGTGGGCTTGGATCCCTGGCTGGGTTGTCTCAGAATACACTGGGGCTACCCAAGGTCCTGACAAGCTGAAGGGCTAGGGGAGGGGGACCACCAGATGACAAGGCTGTTAAGGGTGCCTGTCTTTTTTCCTGTCTCTCACACATGGATGTCTCTCTATCATAAATAAAATAAAATAAAAAATTGTCTGCCTATGATCTATATTCTAAAATCTCTAGACATTTACTCTGCTCCTGATCGAATTCTATCCCAAAGCAAAACAAATACCAAAGATTAAGAAACTGCTTCCTGACAGATCTGACAAAACCACAGCGTGATGGTAAGTTAGGACTGATCATTTATGCTGATTTAATCTTATTCTGACACAGACCTGGTTCACAGTTTTCATAGCAGATGGGAGCAACCATTTCCACAAGGTGGGCGGCACTGCCATCTGGTGGCAGAAACCTAATACTACAACTTAAAAATTGCAGTATTTTCTTTGTTAAGGGTTACTCTCTTGTACGCTGAAATTCTATGACATGAGTTTAGGGAGAAGTAATAAAAAATGGCTGCCCATAAGATCGTATTGACTCCTGTATGAAATTAAGCTGGCTCTAAACCCAAAATATTGCTGAATTACATTTTAAAAGATTCTTTCCTTTATTCATGATAGATTGAATGTGCTCCTGCACGAGTGAGCATAAGAAAGAGAGAGAGAGAGAGAGAGAGAGAGAGAGAGAGAGAGAGAGAGAGAGAGAGAGAGAGAGAGAGAGAGAGAGAGAGAGAGCACAACACCCCCACAGGGTCTGGCTACACTATGACCCCTTCCTCCAGTCAGTCCTCTAATCGGTCGGGGCTTGGGCACTTGTGCCCATTGTGTTTCAGGTAGACCAGGATGGGGATTTGAACCCCTGTTACTATGTGGGATCCAGCTTCTCCAGAGCAGCACAGTACCTCTGCACCACACAGCCAGTCCTTGATGGATTACATTTTTCAAGTGCATACGACGTGCATGAAATTCTTACTGAGCTTTCATGCAACAAGAAGTAATTTTGACAAAATTTTTTTTAGTATCAATATAGACAAGCCCAGCCATTTTCATAGTGTTTGTAATGTATATTATAAGACATACAGTACAGTTTCGGTAAGACAGAACAACAACGGCAACAAAAGAACCAGCAAGATGATTTATAAGACTGTCTCTGATTATCCAGGTTCTTAAGAATGATGATGGAAGGCACCGGGGTCTGGGATCACTGGATAAAATGCACCACGTTTGCACTCCACCCTTCTTCTACCACCACTGGCAAATAAGTGAGATGACTTCTCTGCTCCTTCCTTACCAATTCCTTTCCCTTTTTCTTTTCTTTTTGAAAATGTTCAGGGGCATGTGCACTTGCCAGAGAAACAGGGAGAAAGAGAAGGAAAAAGTACCCTCCATGGGGTGTGGTGACAAAATACTCCTTTCTCCTCCATTTCTCATGCTGTTGCTGCCGGTATTTTGGGCACACACGCACACGTGTGTTTTTCAAAGCACTGGGGCCAAGATTCAAGGCCTACCGTCAGCCGTGGGAGATCCAGCTTCTTTAACCACTAGCCCACGGGGCTGGCCCAATTTTGTTTTCCTTGTATGATGACTATTCTGTACTAGATTGTACTAGAGAACTGTGGCAATAGATAGGGTAAAAATAACTTTGGTTTTTAAATCTTTTTTAAAAATCATAAAAATACTGTTCGGATAATTGCTTCAATCTGCTCCAACACCCGAGTTGCTGTTAGACTAATCAATTGAACTCAAAAACATTCGAGGAATATCAGTTATGTGCCCCTCACTGCCCTGACTTAAGAACTGGAGGGATAGCAGGAACTCCTAAAAGACAGGAAGCTGCTTTAAAATGCACTGACCCAAACCAAGATAAAACCAAGCTGAATAAACTGGCCAGCTCTCCTCTGGCCATCAGATGGCAGAGTGGCTGGAAGTGGTACTGAGCGTGGGAGCGCGCGGCTGAAGAAACAGCTTAAGGTCTCAGGGATGGAGAAGAAATCACTGAAAGGAAGAGACACGGGCATGAAGAGCAAAAGGAGAAAAAAGAAAAAAAGCCATGCATGAGGAAGAAAGAAAACACGGTGCTTATAAAAAGGGCGAGAGCAGAAATTCCCACGGGACCGCGCTTCGGTGAGAGCTGAGCCCCAGCCCCGGCGGTGTGCTCTTACCCTCTCTCCTGGCGTCGGCGATCACCTGGGCCGCGGACTTGCTCATCACGTGCACCACGTAGAGAGGGCAGTTCACGGCGCTGGCGATGGTGATGGCTCTCAGAGTTGCCTCGGCCTCCACGGCTTCGGGGCGGCACAACTCGTGGCCCTCGGGGCCTGTTATCCCCAGTGCCAGCATCTTCTTTGCTCCCTAAAAAGACCGGGAGGACGTAAGAGACAGACAGGGACGTGAACACGCGCCAGGGAGGTTTACGAATGGCGCTTATCTTATTGTAGCCGAAAAGCATTGCCGGCCTTTTAGATCTGTTCGGAACAGGTGTGTGTGTGTGTGTGTGTGTGTGTGTGTGTGTGTGTTTGTGTGTTTAACAGTGTGTGTTTAATAAAGGTAGTTTTAATATTCTTTCCTCTTTTTTTTTTTTTTTTTTTGGGGAGATTTTTTCTTCAGGGCATTGACATTACATACACTCACCAGAGAGACAGAGAGACAGAAAGCAAGAAATCATCCCCCAGGGGGAATGGTCACCCGCAGTCCCTTCTCCAGTCTCCTCTTGGGATTTTGGACACACTAGCACATGTGCCTGGCATAAGTTTTAAGCCACCAGGTCTGGGACTCGAACCACAATTGATTACATGGGAGTCCATTACTCCAAATGCTGGTCCCGATAGTTTTAATATTCTAATGTTAACTCTCCATACTCATTTTATCATCAAATTCTTTTGATTGTAAAGGTGGAAAAGATGCGAGGTTAGTGCTAATCACATTCTTTGTGAAGAAATAGGGTCAGCCTGTAGCCAGATCCTACAGGGCTGCCCACAGTTTGAATCCTGACCCTCACAGCTTGAAAAAGCACACAGGGTACGTGCATTTGTGTGCCTAAAATCCCAACAGGATGGAGAAATGGAGAAGAAAGGGTTGTGATGTGGCCTTGCCCCATTGGGGGGTTGGGGGGAGTGCTTTTTCCCTATTTCTCTCTCTCTCTGGCCACTGCATATACCCTCTGGAAATTAAAAAAAAAATGTCCTTTATTTGTTTACTTGTGTTTAGAGGTTTTTGCCTTAGGGCATGTGTGCTTGCTGGAGAGCGAGAGACAGAGACAGTGAGAAATCACCCCCTAGGCCCAGGAAGGATGGCCATGCTGCAATCTCTTCTCCTCCATTCTCCTCCCGGGAACTTGGGCACACATGCCCCATCCCCGGAACTTGGGCACACATGCCTGGTGTGATGTTCAAGTCACGGGGCCAGGACTCCAACACCAATTGGCCATGTGGGAGTCCAGTGACACAACTGCTACACCATCTGCTGGTCCCAAAATGTCCATATTTAAGACTTAATATTGGTACACAGAAAAGAGAGCAGAAAAGAAGAAAAGGAAAGGAAAGGAGAGGAGAGGGGAGGGGAGGGGAGAGCTGCCTCAGTTGTGACAGTTGTACTAGGCCATAAATTAAGCTAATTATTAGTATCAGCTGTTACTTATTTAATTCAGTAGTGCTGCTCTGTAATTCTACAACTCTTAAGCAAGCGAAGCATTTTGTAAAGGAGCTAGTTGTATGAAAGAACCTATGTAAAATTAAGTTTACTATTCTTGCCATCATCGTTTAGGTGTTACCCTACCAAGGCTGGTATGATCATGAATTAAGAAGGTGAACTGCGGGAACCAGCAGTTAGCATAATGGCTATGTCGCTGGACTCCCACGTAGTTGACCGCGGTTTGCGTCCCAGACCCGGTGGCTTAGAACTCACGCCGGGCGCATGTGCGTGCGTACCCAAGATCCCGAGAGGAGAATGGAGGAGAAGGCTTTGCGGCATGACCATCCCCCCTGGGGGGTGATTTCTCACTTTCTGTCCCTCTGTCTCTCTCTGTCTGCCTGGTGAAGGCACACGCCCTATAGCGAAAATCTCTCCAAAAAAAAAAAAGGAAAAAAAAGAAGGTGAACTGCTGAGGAAGGGACTGAGAGACAGCAGATGCTTGTTTCAAGACAGTCTTCTACAATTCCAACCGTCAGGAATGGAGAGCTAATGGATAAAAGTTAAGTAGGATAAAATCTGTGATAGAGTCAAGAATGGGTTCTATTAATGATTTTGTCATCAGTTTGACCTTTTAGAATGGAGACAAAATGAAAATGTTTGCCTTGTATCTACCTGGTCAGGATATCAGAGAGAAGAACAAGGCTCTAGGAGAGGAATAGAGGCAGTGATATCAGCCTTGAATGTTATCTAGCCATAACAATTTCACTTGAAAGCTATTTATTTGGGAAACAAAGGACCAAAAGCCCTGGAGCTTCAAACTGATACTCTTTCAGTGCACCTATGAGTACAGGCAAAATAAACCCACTGAAAAATTAGGAAAACCCCTTTGTGTCTATATATTGACTTCCTTAAAAATTTCTTTGGCCATTCCATGCAAAGAAGCATGAAAAAATAATGCTACTGAGACCAGCAGATGGCGTAATGGTTACGTTACTGGACTCCCTTGTAGTCAACCACTGTTTGAGTCCCGGCCCTGGTGGCTTAAAACTCACACCAGGTGTGCATGCCTGCGTGCCCAAAATTCTGAGAGGAAAACGGGGAGAAGGGATTGTGGTGTGGCCATTCCCCCTGGGGGTTGATCTCTTACTTTCTGCCTCTCTGTCTCTCCAGAGAGCTTCCTTTCAAAGAAGGCAGAAAGTCAAGACTCGGAGAGGTGGGAGAGGTGGGATGACTTGCTCGTGCTATGCAGCTAGGAAGTGCGAGAGTTGAATTGAAAGCCTGGTCTAGCCTGTTTGGTTTTATAGCCCGTGCTCTCTTCCATTACTCCCCACTGCCTCCTGGCCACTCAGCCTCAATCTCACCCACTTTAATGGGACTTGAGCCTAGGGAGAGAAAAAAAAATCAGCTAATATAAAGGGTAAGAGACAGCTCTTTAAATCTTGCAGATGGTGTACCCTTCGGGCATTAATAATGGAACTAACATGAGAAATAAATATCATCTAGATTCCTCCAGCGCACATTTTAACACCCAGTTCTGAAAAGAGTAGGGATTTAAACAGCTACCTAATACACTGCTTAAGTCATCCGATTACACTGATGTCCACACTTTGGCGTTCCGAACCAGCAGCCTAAGCTACTAAAAAACAACGATGACAGTGCTAGGGGACAGAAAGAAAAGCATTCGTGTTTTTCTTATAGCACACGTTTGAGATTTAATAGCTGGCTTGAAAAGGGCAAATTCAAGTGCATATACCACCTGAGTAAAACCAAGAGCAAAAAAAGACTTGAGTAAACTGAGTCAGGAGCGCTGAGCCACAGAAAAGCAATTTCTGGATTTCTGTTCTTCTAGTGCATTCTAGGAGGAGTACTGGCATAGGGCCAATTATCTCCGCCGGAAGGGAGTTATGGCCGTTTTCGTGTCTGCGGGTCTGGACTGCAGTGCTCACCTCTGCAATTAAGTCTCCGTTCTCTGCATGGACCTGAGCAATCGCTCCAATCTCCTTGCACTGAGAGAAGGCCGCATACAGCTCCACGTCTCTCACCATGTACAGATCTTTGTAGGCCATAAACATCTTGAAAGAGTTAACCCCTTTATCCTGGGTAAGGATTCTCATTTCTTCTTTAACCTAAAAGAGAACAAAAACAGTACATCACTCTTCTATTTAAATGATCATTTCCACATTCTCCAAAATGCATTTGGAGAATGCTGAGTTCCAGAAAAATATGATTAAGGCCTTGATCTTTCCCAGGTCATCCCCACTTCATCTGATAAATTGCCGCAATATGGTATATTTTTTAATGCTAGAGGATGCGTGCGCATGCACTAGAAAAAGAGAGAGAGACAAGCAGGGTAAAAGAAAGCACTCTCTAACAAGGCCAGGTCACACCGCCGTAGTTCCCCTGTGAGGCTTTGATGAGGCTGGGAAGCTGATGGGGCTGGGACTCAAATCCTGGTCAGCCACATGGGATCCAGCTTCCTCTGTGCAGCCGTGCACAGCAGGGCCTGCCCTACATGAAACTTTTAAGTCATGAAAAAATTAGTAGTGTTCCCCAAAGTACTTCATTTCTATACTTAGATAGAAACTTGTTTGCATTTGTCCCTCAATTTGGGGAAATTATTCTAGGAAATGAAGACAAAGCCATTGAACAACAACAGCAGCAGTTATAGATCTAGGAGTAAAAGTTAATGTTAGAGTTCGAACTTAAATTCGAAAGTGACAGGATGGAAGAGAATAGATGATGCGGATTGACTCAGGCTTGCCTGAGAAACCTAGTTTAGCTGTGGAGCCACGCAGGCACGTGGCCTGCCGACCATTCCTGGGAGGTGAGCACTGGCTGCTCACAAAACTCTGGACCAGTCGGAAGACTCAGGAGCCTCAGGGTTACTAAGGGTAAGGAGAGAGCTATGATCAAAACTGGCTCAGTAATTGCCCTTGTAAGTCCAATTCAAATCTCAGCAAGAATTAAAAATTTCAAAGGAAAGTTAGTAAGTTTGACCAAATAAAACTGGATTTCTATGTATTAAAACACATACACCCAGGGCCAGGAGGTGGCATAGCAGTTAAGGCACTGGACTTCCACGTGGCCAACTGTGATTTAAGTCCTAGACCTGGTGACTTGAAACTCACACTGGGTGCATGTGCATGTGTGCCCAAAATTCCAAGAGGAGAATGGAGGAGAAGAGATTGTGGTGTGGCCACCCCCCGGGGGGTGATTTCTCACTTTCTCTCTCTTCCCATCTCTGTTTCTCCAGTGAGTACCCTATAAGCAAAAATCTCTCTAAAACACACACACACATAATTAACCAAAAAAATATATAACAAGCACAGGGTTATTGTCCTTAGTTGATAAAAAGATCTTCAACTAGATTTTAAAAAGAAAAAAGAAAAGGAAAACAACCCAAATAGCTCAGGTGAAAAACATTACAGATGGAGCACCCCTAATCTGAAAATCCAAAATGCTCCAAAGTGGGAAGCTCTGAGTGCTGTCATGATGCCAGAAGTGGAAAATTCCACACCTGACCTCATGGGACAGGTCACAGTCAAAATGCAGGAACACAAAAATACTGTATAAAATTACATTCAGGCTATGTGTAAGAGTTACATATGAAACATAAATTTTGTGTTTAGATTTTGGGACCATCTGCAAGGCAGCTCCTGTATGTGCAGATATTCTGTAATCTGAAAAAATTCAAAACACTCTGTTTCCAAGCATTTTGGATAACGGATAGTCGACCTGTATCAACAATTCTTTTAGTAAATACAACTGAGTAATAAACACGTGTTCAAAAAATTAACCTTTCTACTAATTAAAAAGTGCAAAATAAAGCAATGTTATCTTTCTGTTGATTTGTCAAAGTATAAACATGATAGTGGTGTTAATTTACGCACTCCTGTCACTATTTATTCCTGTACTAATTTTCTTTTTTTTTTCTTCAGGGTACTTTATCACCTGGCACATTCATGCATTCAACTGTTGATCACCCGTCTTCCCCACTAGAATTTCAGCCCCATGAGAGAGCGAGCTTTGTAAGGTTTGTTTGTTTGCTGCCATGTCCTGGAGCAGTGCCTGGTGCACAGTGGCCGCTCAATAATTATTTGTTAAAAGAGTGAATAAACCAACTAACTAATTAATATAGAAAAAGGAAAGGGGGGAAATGCTAAAATGTTGACAGTGGCCAAGCGATGGTATACACTCCCGGATGTGCTAAGGGACAACAGCACGGGGCAGAATGTGTGTAGTGTTTCCCATTTCTTTTCTCTATTGTTCTAGCTTTTCTACAATGAGTATATTATTTTTACAGTCAGAAAAAAAGATGCTTTAAACATAGTTGGCGTATTCACACAATGGCCTTCGAACGGGTATTATGATCTGCCTTGTTTAGAAGAGCCTTTTTGGGAGGTGACCTGATCAGTGGTCCTGGCATCTACACCAGGAACAGCCCTATGATACTGCTCCCAGACACAGGAGGGTAGGCTCTGCTCAGGAGGGTGCTATCTGCCCAGCAGCAGCAGCAACACCTGCGAGAAATGCAGAACCTCAGGCCAACCCTGCCCCTGGCTCGTGTGCCCCCAGAATTCACATGTTGAAGTCCTGACCCCTTATTTGGAATAGGTCATTGCAGATGTAATTAGTTAAGATGGGGTCATTAGCGTGGGCCACGATCCCACGTAACTGGCGTCCTTTTACCACGGGGATCTGAGACACAGACAAGCAGGCTCGCGGCGAGAGCAGTGTGAAGATGAAGGCAGAGATCCCAGTGGTGTGTCACAAGCCAAGGCGCACCTGAGATTACAACAAACACCAGGAGCTAGGAGGGAGGCCAGAACGGATGCTTCCCCTGAGGCTCCAGTAGAAACACCTCTGCCCATGCCATGATCTCGGACTTGAAGCTTCCAGAACTGTCAGACAATCCATTTCTGCGGTTCAAGCCATTCTCTTGCAGTACTTTGTTACTACAGCTCTAGCCAACTAAAAAGGCTGCTGAATGGAACCTGTATTTTAAAAGTATTTACCTAGTGGTCATTTGCATACTAAAGTTTGAGAAGCATGGTAAAGGCGAACACCATCACCTTTGCTCCATCTTATAGAAAAAGACGAAGGAAAAGAGGAAAGAAGAGAGAAGGGAAGGAAAGAAAAAAGGAAAAGGGGGGAGGAAGGAAGGGCCCTTATGTCCTAAGACATTAAAAAGCTACGGTGCATCACGTAGATGGCATTTCTGGAGAAAAATTAACTTTAGCCATGGACTATAAACCTTGCTATTATGTTTGCTGAACTATCTGTTAAAGATTGATTGTTTGTTTTATATTAACTTGGTGTCTAAAGCCAAATTTGTTGGGGGAGGAATATAAGTCACTCAAATAAGGTCACCCTGGTGAATCCTTTCTGCAAACAAGATTTCAGAATTAAGGTCAATGTAGAAAAACATGTGACTTAAATTCCAAGTAAAAGTTTCTTCCAAAGTACACGCACAAACCAAGGTAGCTTAACATCTCTCTCTCTCTTTTTTTAGAGGTTTTTGCCATAGGGCGCGTGCGCTTGCCAGACAGAGAGAGACAGAGAGACAGAAAGCGAGAAATCACCCCCCAGGGGGGATGGCCACGTCGCATACCCTTCTCCTCCATTCTCCTCTTGGGATCTTGGGCATGCATGCACATGCGCCCAGCGTGAGCTTTAAGCCACCGGGTCCGGGACACGAACCGCGGTGGACTATGTGGGAGTCCCGTGACATAGCCATTATGCTAACTGCTGGTCTCTAGCTTAACATCTCTCAAAGCTGACTCTTTCCTTCCAAATCAGGTTATTGTTTCTGCCATGGCCTGAGTAACTAGCAGTCAGGGGAGGGTGGTCGAAGCTCTGCTATGAAATGATCTTGGCCCAGTCTGACACCAGCAGAGCACTGCAGGGAAAGCGCCCGGCAGGATACAGTCGAGACCAGGCTGGAAACAGTCTAGGTCTGTCCCTTCCTCTGTCAAGAAGGGGTCGGAGTGGGAATAGAGGCAGCTAGCTCTAGAGAACTCCAAATTTTAAATTTCCTTGACTTTTATTTTTTTCCAGAAATTAAACGTTTTAAAAGTTCATTTTATTTTTATTATGCCAGAAGGTGAGTGCACAGAGAGAGAAGAGAGAGGGAGGAAAAGCACTTCCAACGAGGCCTGGTCACACCACGACCCTTTACTTCACAACTCTGTCCTGTCAGGACCCTGTGTGCCTATAGGAGTGCCTGGGGAGCTGCCAGGGCTGGAACTCGAACCCTGGTCAGCCCTCTTGGACCTGGCTTCCTCCACGTAGTACGTAACTGCTGTGCTATGGGACCAGCCCCCAAATCAAACATTTCTAACTAAGGTTCTAATCTGTGAGGAAATAATATTTAAAAGATTCTGAAGATTAAACAAAAAAAGATTCTGAAGATGTTAAAGATTAGGAAAAGAGAGATCTGTACTTTCAAAATTACATTTAACACATTTACAATTCAAGAACTAAATATTAGGACAGGCTGTTGTGAATGAACATTAAGGATTTATACTATCATCTTCATAGATATACATATTTTTTAAAGTATAATTTTTCAATTGATAATACTTGACAAGATTCAGAATTGAAACAGTAATAAAAGGTACAAAAGAACATGCAATACAAAGTCTTCCCTTCAATTCTACCTCAGACACGTAGAAAACAAGCAATACCGCCAGTTTTTTGCATGTCTTGCATTTCTGCATTCCGTCTCACTTTTGTACAGACCGCAAGGGGACTAAAGGGGACAAAGTGGAATACAGGAGCCTCACCTGGTCACTCCACCACGTCACCGCCACATGAAGGCTGTAGTCACAGCAGACCTTGGGATCAGCCCAGCTCCGCCAGGTCTCAAAGGCCTCAATGAGGGAGCTGCCTTTCTGAGGAATGGCAAAATCAATGATCATGGTGGTACCTCCTGCCAGAGCAGCCTGGAATCACAAGAGGGTTCCAACAAGTTAGCCATCAATTTTCCAGGGCAGTCATTCATCACCTCGAACAGTGTGCATGTGCAGGCACATGGGCAAACTTGATGGGTCCAGGAAATTGCACAAAGATGTGGCCTGTTTAGGAGACCCAGAGGGGCATACACAGACTTTCCATAAATTATAGTGCGAAGCGTTAAAATGGCTGGAATCGCTTCTGCAAAAGGAATGATGTATCTGGAGATGAAAATGGCTTTGATTCAAAGGAAAATAGAATGAGGACTATAAAGCAAAACCAAGATGGAAAAGTGGAAAAGATTGAGACATTTTTCTCCTCCAGAAACTAAATGAATTCTTGTAAATAATTCATTTTAAGAGGATCCATCGTGAAATTTTAACTCCAGTTGCCCTGTGATCCATGAGGAATCCTGGGAGACTTACATGGTTTCTGTCTCGCTCCAACCCCGACAACCAGCTGGTGACCCTGTGATCTTTCTCTGATTTCCATCTGTCTCCCCTACTCACTCTCACTGCTCTGGTCTCGGTTCTGATCCTTCTCACCTCTCACCTAAGCTATTTTAACAGTCTTGATTGGTCTTCATCTCCAATTCTCCCACCGTCCTCACACAAACCCCTTTTTGCAATGAGAGGAGTATTTCCAAAGTACAAATGTGAGCACTTGACCCCGACAAAATCCAAATGCTTCTTACTGCCTTTGGAAAGAAGTTTAATCTTCTTAGCAAGGTCTTTAAACCCCTGCATTCTGCCTCAACTCTGAACACACCCCTTAGCATATTATATTACATCATAATGAATTTAAAAACTGTTACTAAATCAGATATCTTTGACTAATTATTTAAATCAATTGCACTTAAACTAAAATCACAAGGTGATTAATACACTAATATGCTTTTTAAATTTGGTTTCCTTTTTAAAGAGTTGCTTGCCTTATTGTACATACACTAGCCAGAAAGATAGAGAGAGATAGAGACAGTGAAAAGGAAAGTGAGAAGTCACCCCCCAGGGTTGGCCATGATGCAATTGCTTCGTCTCCATTCTCCTCTAAGGATCTTGGATACGTACACACATGTGCCCAGCGTGATTTTCAAGCCACTAGGTCTGGAACTCAACTGCAGTCAGCCATGTGGGAGTCCAGAGATGTAACTGCTATGCCATTTGCTGGCCCCGATTAATATGCTTTCAATTGTCATATTCAAACAATGGAGGAGAAGAAAACAAACAAGGATGGAAGGGTAGGGTAGTACAATGGGTAGGGCATGGATCCTGGAGGGTCCCTCATTGGTCGCAGGGCACAAAGCTCAGATTCAGCACTTATTAGCTGTGGTTTCCAGAGCAATTTTTAAATCTTTCTGTGCCTTTGATTCCATATCTGTAAAGTGAGGACAATATTCACACCTAAACGATAGGTTTGTCTGGAGGACCATGTTGAGGTCATGTAGGCTGGCTGCAATGGTGCAGCTGTAATGCAATGCTCCATGATACTGAAGCTGCACGGTAAGGTCCAAGGTTCACGTCCTGAGGTCTCCCTCTACACGCCAGGCACATGCGTGCCTGGGATTCTGACTGGCTGAGGCCGGGAGTAGATTGGGAGGAAAGACCTTGTTGGAAGTCTCGCTCTCCTTTTCTCTCTCACATACAGAAGAAATAAATAAACTTTAAAAAAATGAGATGATGTTGGGCTAACAGATGTAGTAGTGGTCAAGGTGCTGGACACCCACATGGTCAACTGTGGTTCAAATCCTGGACCAGGTGGCTTGAAACTCACACTGGGTACATGTTCATGTGTGCCCCTAGATCCTGACAGGAGAATGGAAGAGAAGGGATTGCAGGCGGCCATCCCCCGGGGGGGGGGGGGGGCTGATTTCTCACTTTCTCTGCCTCTGTTTCCATGTTTCTGGTGAGCACACGTGCCCCATAGAATCTCTCCAAAAACAACAAAAACAACAACAACAAACAAACAAAAACAAACCCAGCTGAGTGCATAGTCTGTCATGTGGTATGTGATTGTAAACTGCAGCTCATGATGTGATGAGACTTTGTGCCACGGTTTCAGAATCAGGGAGTTTTCTACTCTCCCTACATCATCTTCACGTCATCACTAGCCACATGGGCAAGTTACAATGGGGGGGGGGGCAGTGCCACCAGTATCTCTCCCAGGCCCCTGCAACCTCACTGCATCACTCTCCTACCCCACCCCTACTACCCCTGGGACACACAGAATGCTCCCATAGCTTACATGGTATACCAGCTCTGTTCTACCTCCCCTTTCCTGCTTACTTTTAAAGGATTTTTATTTTTCCTTAAATCGCTTGATCCCACTCCAATTTTTGCCCTCAAAATGTTCACTTTTTGTAAAGGATCCTGTACTTTGTCTCCACCATGAAGTAATATCACCTTATTCATGGCAAAACAATACACATTTGCATTTCTTAAGAAATCCTTATTGATGTAATGACAATACTAGAAAAAATTCCTCGGGCTCTGTCTTTTTATTTGAATACAGATTAATCTTCTTACCTTCTTCCTTCTTAAAGTGTCTTCCCACTATGCTACTGACTGCTTGAGGATGAATTAATGTGCTGTTAATTAAAGCATTGGAAAAGTATTTTTCTAGTGTCTACTGAGCTAGGAAATCAAACTGAAAGATCTATTCTTTCTGCTC